TCCTAAACTTAGGCTAGAGTGGGTTGGCAAAGCTTGGAGGATAAGCATTGAAAAAAAAAAAAAACTAACGAGTATAGTTGGATAGGACAAAAGAGAGGTTAGACGTATTGTGTAACTGAGTATCCGTTTGAATTGCAGGACAAAAAGATAGGCTAGCTGAGCGAAAGCTAATTCAACTTGGAAGCTCATACCATGTTAGATATTGAGGGCAAAAGGGAATTGAAGAGAGTCGGAGTATGCCCAAGTGATATATTTAAGAGGGCAAGAGAGATGATACAAGTAGAGTATGCTGAAATATATCTTTAGAGAATAATTAATTGTATCATATTGAATTATTTTGAATTGTGAATACATCACCTATTTATACAAAAGTCTAGCTATCAATAAGAAAACAAAATAATGTAATACACTTAAGAGGAATTCTTGTTTTTTATGTACCTTTTTAAATTAAATGAATCGAATATACCTTTTAAACTAATGAATCGAATATAACTTTTTAAATCTAAATGATCGAACCTTGAGTATAATAAATTCGATACAAACATGTTCCTATGTATTCAAGCTCAATCGTTTCTTCTTCCTTACAATGGATCTCATAATTAGGGGAGGAAAAACGGTATGACCGAATGTCCTTTTACTACCCACCCGAATATTTGGGTGTGTGAAAATGGTACTGGTAACCAAACGTTTATGCAATACCCGAATATGGGATACCGAATTTCGGTTCGGTTACTAGGTACCCAAATGTAAAACCCGAATTTCCAATATAATCCCAAACAAAAATTCAATATTTCTTCACATTTTAATCAAACATAAAATGTTAATTAAACTTGTAATATTTCTTCTAAACAAAATTGCAATGTTTCTTCCAAACTCCTCCAAATTTTAATCAAACAATATACAATGTTTCACACCATAAAACATAATGTTTTACATAAACCAAACATAAAATGTTTCACACACCATTACACCAAACATAAAATGTTTTACATAAACCAAACATAAAAATTTTTACACCAAAAAAATATAGAAATAATTCTTCACAATAAAAAGAGCCCACGTAGACAATTATCAAATACCTTTTTGAATAGAGAAGTGGAGCAATTGGTAGAGAGAAATGGAGAAATAAAGAATGATGTAAGTAGTGGAGACTGGAGAGAACAAAGTGCGAGTAGGAGCTAAATGGAGAAAGAAGAAGAGATGCGAGAAATCAGTGGGCTAGTGGAGACGGAGAGAATAGAGAAGGGAGAGATTAGTGGAGAGAAAATGATAAATGAAGAGAAAATACTGGAAGTTGCGAAGGAGAAATGTAGAGAAAGGGAGAAATGGAAAAAACGAAGAAGAAGGTTATTTGGGTTTAGGGAAATTGATTTGGGAATTGGGATTTACATTTTTAGTTTTACTCTTTTTTTTTTTTTTTTTTTAAAACAGGTTTCGGGCACCCAATTTATATTTTAAATCAACTTGGTAACTAAACCGAAAAATGGGTGCCTACTTAAAATACTATCTGAATCCAACCCTGGAAAAAATCGAATTTGATTCGGTTCGTTTGCGGTCTTTTTTGTACCTCTACTCATAATGGAGGTGGGTAAGGTTTTCAAAGGTTCATTATGTTTGGTATGCGTTTGGGTTGCACTGCTACCTGCTAGCTCTAGCATGACAATTATTCTCCACAAAAAATGTGTGAAATTAATTAAGTTGTTTGTTTTCGTTCTGACATGATGTGATGAAAATCCTCTTAATTATGTTTGGTTCGTTTTCCAATACAATTACTTCGATTTTATCATTGATCTAAGGGAAATGATGTTCGCGTCTTTTCCAATAAAGGTCACGGCATAAAAACTAACGGCAGGGGAGGTACTGGATAATTCACATAACACAGAAAACCAACTTATCTATTTGGAAACCAAAGGGTAGTGGAGGGTATTAATCCTTTAAAATTAAGAAAAAACAAACAGTTAATAGATTATTTCTAAAGTTGATTTTTTGAAAATTGATCAACATATGATTAAGGATAAGTTACTGCAATCCCAAACTAAACCTTAATTTATGTTTATTATCGTGGACATGTCTAATTATTATAAGGCAAGTTAACATTATTAAGCGTTTTATTTATTGAAACAGTAAAGAAGGATTAAATCAAAAACGTGGGCCTAATTCTAAATAATGTGAAACCTTTACCTACGGGGGCCCAAAGACAAGGTCACGTGACACTGACGCTGACATGGCAAAACATTGGATTTTCATCACGTGAATTTGCCGAACGTTAAAGCGCCCAAACCAAACAAATCGTCTACCGTTTATCATGGCGAGTTCGACTTTGGCGCTCTCTCCGCTTCACTGGACAAAATTTGAATTATCGAGCTTCATTTGAAAATCACGCTCCAGGTAATCAATCTACATAATTAGTTACAATTATCGTCTCTCTATTTGCTTATTAATTTAGGTTTTTTAAGTTTTGTGTTGATTCGATTAATTCACTTATTTACAGATTTAATTTCCAAAGAAAATCAGGCTGTTGGAATCTCCTGTCATTATTCTTGCCTTGAAGTGAGTTTTTTTTTTTTTTTTTTTGTAATTATTTTGTTTCTATATTTTTTTTAAAATATTTTGTTACAACATTAGGGTTATTCTAGGAGAGATGGCTGTGAATTTACTTTTTAGTTCATAGATGTTTATTAAATATGAATAATTCAGTTAAAAGAGATTATTGAGACTAAATTTGATATTTTATGTGATGGTAATTATTAATTTATTATATAATTTGCTAATTATGATATTCGAGCACTGGTCATTTATTTGCTAGTACTATAGTGACTTGTGAATTATATTGATTGTGAATTTTTTCTTGCTGTGCATTAGCTTGTAGTGCTAGTTCATTTTTTTTTTTTTTTCTTGCATTTATAAATTTGTTCTTTAAGTGGATCTCAATGGTGAGTATTGGGAGAACACTATGATTAAAGTGTTGGAAGTTACTGAAACGAAATAATCGTTACTCTAAGGTTAAGGATGTCTACTATCGACCCCAGGGACCCAGCTCAACATTTTAAACGGAATTAGTTTCTCCCTTCCTGAGAAAAAGGTATATGTTTGTGCTATGACTTCATTAGTAACAATTTATCATGTCCATGTGTTTCTTCTTTATTCAATTACTCCTGTTAGAAGTTACATTTGGAAAAATAATGTCTGAAGACTATAACCTTAGAGCTCATCAACAGGTTTTCTATAACCACTTTTCATATCTGTAATTTGATAGTTTTGATGATCTACTAATGTCTTGGATTAAATTGTCTGGAGATTTTGTGATTTTTTTGCATAAGATGTTGAAACAACCCTGTCTCATCTTGTACTCATATTTCTAACTACACTATGCTAGCGGCAGAATTCTCAATATCTATTAGATGGTTTGCTTCAAAGCAAGTGCTTTCTGTTCATGGACTAAATGTATTGTGTCATTTGCTGCAGTTTTGGCTGTTTTTGGACAGAGTGGAAGTGGAAAAAATACCTCTTGCAGGTTGACCCCTTCTCAATGTTTTTTCTTTCGAAGTTCTTACTGTTCAATTTGTTAATCCCTGTTTTTTATATTTTGAGTGTGCGTCCTTTCCTTTCCCTTCAGCTTCTTGCAGGACTAAGCAAACCAAATCGGGTTCCATTTACATTAAAAAATATGGAATGATGGCAAACCAGATGAGTCCCCTGAACCGTTACTCGCTGAAAGAGTTGGATTGTGTTTCAGTTTCCAGAGAGGTACTGAAAACAACTGGACATTATCTCCTCATGTTTCTTATGATAAGAAATCTGGGGTCCTAGATGTTGTAAACTTGTTTTCTCTAAAAGTTGTCTATTCATAAGTCTGATTTTTCGTACTACTTGGAGTTTTTGCTTGTGTGTTAAGGGAATTTATGTATTTATATATTACTTATTAATTTCTTTCACTTTTTATTTCTCACTTCTCAACAACGTTCTGATTCTACTTTGTATTGTTAAATTTCTAAGAATATATTGTTTTGAGCTAGGTATTTTGTGGCAGATAATGTGCTTGATGAAGTTATCTTTGGGTGGCCAAGGCAAAGTGGTGATCTATTGAAGGAGTACCTTACTCTAAATCTCCAAAGAGCTATTAATTGGGGAATTCTCTTTCATTCTCTTCTCCCACCCACACCCCACCCCCCACCAAAACACACACACCCTAACTCTTACAGTTGTGTTACTGTTTTCTAGATATTGACTGTGTTAGTGTGTTTGCCATTCTCTGTAATATTATTCAATTGATAATCCTAGGTTGGATTGTGGGATCTCTTTGGATAAGGACCCTCATTCTCTAAGTGGTGGCTATAAGCGTCGGCTTGCATTGGCAATTCAATTGGTAAGACCTATCAATACCCTACCCTAAATTGACAATGAACTATGCACACAAATTCTTTTGGTTCATTTTGTAAATTATGATGGACTCCAATGAGAGATCCTTTAATATCATTGCCACGAATTTTTTTTCAATTAAAAATCCCCTTAAATATTTGAATGCTCCTTATAAGAGGGGTGTTTTAGTAAAGAATTACCGCAAAACCCTTTGGAAAAGTTAAATCAGTAATTTTTAAAAAGATTGGGTGGTGATAAAATTTAAGGGTTTCTTGGGGTTCAAATTTATTACTTTTTCATTTTGGCCATGGTTTTAAGAAATTTCTATTTCTAGTTATGCATGACGTGGCATGATTGACTGCTAAATGGTGATTATTTTAATTCTCCAGGTACAAATCCCAGATTTATTGATATTGGATGAACCTCTTGTGGTCTGGGTATGAAAGCTCGTTCATTGCTAATGTTCTGAATATTGTTCCTTTTTGTGTAAATATATAAATTTAGACAGCATCAGAAGTCAATCTAATAATTAAGCATGCATGATCCCTGTAATCTACAGCTTTATGTTACTAAACTGCTTGCACGTTATGTCTTTGATCTTCGGTAGTTATTTAATCGTTATGCAATTTTGGAAAAATTAGATTGGAAGGCACGTGCAGATGTTGTGAAGCTTTTGAAGCACATGAAGAAGAATTAACTATACTTGTTGTTAGTCATGACCTCAAGTAAGTTTGTATTTTTTTAATTTTGTCTTCTATCTTTTATGGGGATATATTGTAGTTTCATCACTGTGTCACCATAGTATGGTAAATTATGATTTCTAATGCCCATTTTGATACCATAAACTATAATTTCTACTGTCCATTTATGTTAGACATCATTTAATTGAGGGCATTGTGACATTCCTTTGAAAGAAGATGTGATTTCTTTTTTATAATATCAACTTATAATCCATGATCACGGGTATGAGTGTTGGACACAAGGTGTCATGTATGGCAATGAGCTAATCCTTTCATTCTAGACATTGGCAAACCTCTGCATATGCACCTCTTGTTTCTTTTGTGCATGCATATTGGGTATCTCCTTTCTCGAGTTCTTACTTTGTTTGGACAAACTTTAGTCAGTATATAATGAAGAAAGTATAGTTTTAAACAGGCTTTGGCATAACAAAAATGAACAAGACATGAGAAATGGTAGAGGTTAAGGAGCAAAACCTGTACTCCATGGATCTGGATCCTTCTAAGTTAAAGAATTAAAAGTTTTGAGTTGCAATCAGATTGTAGTGTGTCTACATCACCTGTGCTGAAGAAAAAATAGAAGTGCTAATTTCTAATTGCATCATGAATGCCTTATTTCATACTAGGGTAACTATGTTGCAAAATTAAGTCACCCATATTAACGTCATCAAAATCCAATAGACTATTTCAAATTCAATGAAATCCAATCTGTTTTGTTTAGGTCTAAAGTTAACATGTTGCTGATTGATGGGTTCCATAGTGCAAGAAAATGATACTACCCATAAATAAATGATAATTTAGGTATTGCTCAGTTCATGTTTTCTAATGATAATATGCATACATTTGTACTTTATCTACCTAGCTTTTTGGTGTTTTTCACTCAGAGAGTTGGCAACTATAGTTGATCGATCTTGGAGGATGGACATGGGTGGAACTTTGAGAGAAGAGCCCCTACCAGTGTAATTTGGAACTCAGCTTGTGTCTACCTCTTCAAAACATGATGCTATGAGGTGGGACCCTGATCCTTCTATCTCTTTTTCTTGAAAATTGAAATTTGTTTATAAAAAAAAAAAATCACAACAGAATTTTGTATCCAACAAATAAATATCCCGATTCTTAAACTGAAATTCTCTTTCGTTTCATTTCTCTGTGGAAGTTGGGATAAATGAATTAATGGTTGGACACTCAAGGCCAACAAATTCTAATTCCTTGGCGCGGACATTATGTTTATAATTTTGGCCTCCATATGAGAAGATTGAGTTCAGTTGATTCTAAGTGACTACACTGAACATAGGTGTCAACTGTCAAGTATCCAATTCAAATTTGAGGTCTGCAAGAATTCAAATGACACTCACAAGCAATCAATGTCATGCTCTAGTAATTAAGAAGTTTACAGGAAACATAGTGCCAGACCTTTATCAATACACTGAAGAGTTAAGATGGATAACTCATTTTCTTCTCTTTCTCCAAAGTTCATCACTATTTTACTCACAAATCATAAGAGCACATGATATTATTAAACACCACATATAAACTTCTTACTCAGAAAGAACAGCAGCTATTAAGATTTGCTTCAGCATCATCACTACAGCTCCAACACCAAGTCTACAGGTGCAGCAGTAGAAGAGGATCAGAATACGTATAAGTAAACTTGATTATCTCAGTAATCATTGAGAGCCAGAGTGTGGTCAATAATGCAGTTGTATCAAAAGCAGAACCATGCAGATAAATATTACAATTATCTTAACATTTTGACATTTACAGGATCAATTTTCAATGAAGTTGGAGGATTTCCTATTGGTATAGACATTGAGCATAAGTCGATCTTCATATCTGTGAAATGTGAGTCTTTTTGCTGCTGACAAAATTAATTATGCCAGCGTGTTGAGAGAGATGATCTTGGAATGTTGATTTTGATGATGAATTGAAGGTGCAAATAAAATTTTGGGAGTATATTGAGAGCAAAAGTGAGCAGCAATGTGGATAGATCTGTATGGGCAACACATCTCTCTTTGATTCCTTTATACTCTTTAAGGGATGTTTTTTTCTCTGAAAGAATTACGTATACTTACAATGCGACAGAATAAAATATAAAGAAGTTGGTAGGTAGTTATTCTGAAATTTACAGTCTACCAAAACAAGAGACAACATTCCATGTATTTCAACTTATGAATTGAACTTTAACTACAAATTTTAACTTGGGAATAAATATGTGAATGCTATTTTACTGGAAAAGTTTTCTGCATCCTCAGTGGTACATCTATTGCTATTTTCCTAAGTGTATCTCCCACACTTTTTATGTATGTTTCAATATATTTTTGACTCTAGTCCATAATTATCTTGCTTAGAATTTCCTATAACATATTGTGAATTTGTTGGTTTCTTCATAATTTTGTTTTACATCAAATTCTTTCAATATTTGTTTTAATATTGACTCTCCATCACTGTATTTATGTATGTTGAATCTATGAATTACTGAAGACATAATTAATCATGTATATTTGTCTATTTATGCTTCTTCCTTGAACTAAGATTAAATATGGTTTCTAATTCTGGTATTGGTAGCTAAAACAATTGCAAGTAAATGAACAGTTAATGGAGATTAAGTAGTGATGTCATGTTGCAGTGTTTTCTAATAGCCTATGGACATAAATGGTGTGGGTGAGGTCATGGGTTCTGTCCTGCTTGGTTGTGTGAGTGTTAATTTTCAAGTCAAGAAAAAGTATTGCATATAATTGACTACTTACAGTCTGCATCTGTTTTGATCCAGTGCTCTCTATTTCCACTTGAAGCACTGCCTTTGAGGCCATATTGGGGCCATTTTATGTTGGTCATGTAATATTGGGTCCCTTCCTTTGACTTAGATCCCTGAGGAAAGCTTTTGTCGTTTTTGTCTGAGTGCATCAGACCTCCATTAACACTGCTGCCATCACGGGGATTTCTGTTGATCTTTTTTGTATGGGACTTAATAAACCCTTTTTCAGCTATAGAGTTTTCGGGATGAATTTTTCGGTGGAACATCTGTATGACCTACATGCCAGAAATGGAATTAAAACTTCAGTACCATGTACCCTATTTACCATGTATCTATGTTATGCAATTTATAGTTTAGCCATGATGACCAAAGATTTTTGTTTTATGCTGGAGCTTTCAGAAGATCTAATCTGGCAACCTGATGCTTTGATAAATTGATGGTCAGAAATGAAAGACCTGAACATTTTAATATAGATGTTCTTCTACTCCAGTTTGCTGTTTACATTTTATGGCTGACCTAGATCAGAATTTTTATGCATGCAGAAAATGGCAAGATACCACTAATGTTTCTCAGTTTCAGTATTCCTTTGTTTAAAATGCAAAAATCAGACAGTCTGCTCTGTTTGATTCTTTTTACAGGTTTCCATATGTCCTGTATGTCTTGATTGTGCGTTCACATAAGTTAAGCATTCAATTGTAGCATGAACTAGTGATGTGAACCTGGCTTTTTAGGGCAGAACAAAAGAATGGTTCTTAGAAAATCAAGTGTCAGAAGGCAAACCTTATGGAGCTTCTTGTTGGTTGAAACAGAACCAGTATCTTTATTAGAAGGGGTAGGGCTTCTTGAAGTACCATGAAGCTTTTTCAGCATCTTTTTAATGAGATGTTTGGCAGATTTATGAGTTTTCTTGGCTTGCATCTCCCCTTTCCCACTTTTATCTGTGGAAATCTCATCTGCTATCTTTGTCCTATGAAACAGCTCTGCCAGTGATGCCTTTTCCTTCTTTACCTCAGTTGTTTCTGGAAGTTCAATTGAAGTTCCAAATAGATATCCTTGCAGTGGACATACAATCATCTTTCCATAATCTTCAGCACTGGCTCCTTCCATTGGCTTCTCACTAAGTGTAACAATGCTGACATAACTGTCTCTTCTGGACGATTCATTGCTCTGTCCTTCTTCAGCTTCAGCCTCAAGGAATTTCTCTAGTTCATCATTGATGAGCTTCAAGTCATACTCTGTCACCTCTGCTTTTTCCTCAGTGATATTCTTCACAGACGTGGCAAATGTTGGTGTCACAGGCTCACTGATGATGTTTTCTGAACCAAGAGTTCCTATGGCCAGAAAGCCATCGAAGAGCTCAGAGATGACATCAGTTGTTTCTTTATCAAAGTTTGCTTCAACTCCCTTAGCTTCAATTTCAGAAATATAGTTTTCTGAGTCCTGTTTGGGCTGCTTTGAGGATCGGGATCCACATCTTGAGCCAAAGTTTGGCTTTGAATAGTAGTCTTGGTCATCAAGGGTTGACTGAGTTGAAAGGCAAGTGCAGTAGTTCCCTGAAATTAGATTTCCCAGGAGGATTTAAATATCATCAACAATTAGAAGGGAAGGCAGTAGCTATTGGCTAGCTTGAGTGAGATGCATTGATTTTCATTTTGTGTATTGAAAAGGATGATGTGGACCTAATCTAGTGGCCTCAAACTCAATACATTCAAACTTGTAAGCATGGTAATGTGGTGTGGTATCGAATTCTGCTGTCTTTTAGCGGTATTCTAAATGACTAATAAAATTAGATGGCCTCAATACTTGTGCTGAGATGCCTTTTAAGACTATGTATCTGTGGAGAGAGATCCAGTGGTCTTATGATCACTGGACATAGGTGGTCTCCATCAGTTTTAGTGGAGATAGTGTTGGGCAAATTCTGAAAATATGACATGACGCTGGCCAGCAACTATGTGGCTGAGGCCATCTGTCTCCGATGGTCTTAGAACCAGTTTTAACCTTTGAGTAAGGTTTAAAATTTATATGTTCTGGAAGACTTAATTTATCCAGCTCAATAGAATCTCAAGCTGAACTGCCGTGCTAGATTAGACATCAAGCAGGCTGCATAATTATCTTAGCAAGTGTTGTGACCTGATTATGTGATGATATTTTTGTAACTTATGCATGCCATAATGATTGTGTTGCAAGAAAGCAATTGTGTAGGTAGTTGGAATACCAATTGTGAAATCCTTGAATGGATCGATGCTATTTTGCCTTTTTTTGTGGTGCATCCATCCCAGTAGCTGCTACAATGATAGGTAAAGGTCAAGTTAAAGGATTTGAAAATTTTGTGGTATTCTAAAAATTTGTAGAGTTCGGACTTACCTTCATTTTGATCTCACTTCGGAAGGCTTTATGTCAAACTGCTTTGATTGTTAAAGAGACACATAGAGAAATAGATTTAGATACGTGAGAGATAGGGGACTTTAAAAGGAAATATTAGATTGCTAAAGGTTGAGATAATGAGGATCTTCTCATCATGACCAAGGCAAGTCGCTTGTCGCTAGAAGAGTCTGGGATGGAGGTGAATAGAGAGACAATTAGAAAGATACAAGAGTCTGGTTGGCTGTTCTTTGTCAAGATCAAATCATGTGGATATACTGGAGAGTGGTTTGGAGACCCACAAGCTGGTGGTGCTACGGTTTCTGTGCGTATATATGATGTTTAGAGTAGGTTGACAAGTACAAGAATATATGCAAATTATAGATAGAAATATGTTTTGTGTCAGTCATCCATCCAATAATATTGTCCATCTGCATGCATTTAAACACATTCATTTGCAGTAGAACACTTTATAATTGACTGAGACATGAAACTATGATCTGTAGTCTGTACACAAGTTTACATTGTGTGAAATAATTTTCTGTAACATGCTACATTTATGGTTACATTACGAGGTACCCGGACCACTGAGATGCCCACTATGTCTGGTAGGAAAAAAATAAATATTTTTGATGAATGTGTCAGGTGTAAAGATGGTTTTTAAATAATTAGGTATATTACTTATCAAGTTTCCCAGGGAGATGTGCTTAACATTCCAAAATTTTTGGTGGGTCATGCTTCAGGTAAGATATTTTAAATGTAAAAGATCATCTTTAGTAAATCAGTGCCATTTTGTTTCCCCTTCTAAGTATCTCTGTAACTGGTGTGGGTTGATCAGACTATTGCAAGTCATAGCTGACTTAAACTTCTGAAGTTACTTTATTTCTTCTTCATCTGAATCGCTTGTACCTATTTTCTTTATCAAATTTGATCATGTTAGTTTGCATTTTTGGTTGTGTGACCGTCCTTGAACATGATAAAGTTTTAAAATCTCCGATTTTAGTTGAAAGAGGTTTGGTGTTCCATGTTTGGTACTTGTCTGAATTGAGCTGAGATATTGATTTTTAAGATTTTCTTTTTCAACATCTTGATGTTCATGACAGTAGCTAAACTTAGTAGTGAAACGTCTTTCATGTCATCTTTTTGGTCATTTTTTTTTTCATCACGTTTTAATGAGTAAATGGTTTTATCACCTGAAGGAGCTGAGAAATTTTTCCTATACCAAAATTTGTAAATGATATATGTTATATTACCTTGTAGCATTAAACTGACAATATAGGTGTCCAGTGCTTGAGTATTTGTGTTTATTGATTCAAATATCCTCAGCATATTGTCCTAGGATTGAAGCAACTTTCCAATTTAAGTTTCTGCACTTTTTCCTTTATCATTGACTCTTGTGTCACTATCATTTCCTGAAGTTTAAGTCTGTTTTGCATGTATTTATGCCATTAAAGCTATTTTTCCATTATTTGACCTGTTACTTATCATCAAACTGTACACTTGTTGCAGGCATGACTATGACATCTTTCAGCAGTTGAAGCTTGTCTTCTGAAATGCCTTTCATTGCCATGTATAGAATTCTTCTGCAGAGCCCACTTAAACAGAGTTGCCAACTGTCTTTTATCAACATGTCCCACAAGTATCTGTGGAAGTAGCATTAAGCTAAGAAGAAGCTGTTGTAGCCTAGAGACAAAAGCCATGCAGGCATTTTCAGTTTGAGACACACTTCAACGAGTTGGGGTCTGGTAATTGAAGCACCACAGGTAAAGTTACTAATGTTGACAAAGTGCGGATATACTTCTATGGTTTGTGTCTATTTATATAGATCAATGGTGTTTATCATGCGACATGTAATCAAATTCTAAGATCTCAATTCTAATCTGTATGTGTGGTAACTAATATATTCCTGAACTTTTGTTCATTATTAAAGAAGGCAAATCACTTCAATTGATGTTGTTCTTGTTGGTACATGCACGTGGATGGTGATACACAAAACTTGATCTACCTGACCCCATTTTGAGTTTTGATAGCTATTTGCCTATTTTATACCATTTAGGACTTGACTGTTATCTGACTTCTATGATTGCAGGCAATAATTCCTTTTCCCTGCCTCAACAAACATTGATATAATACATATTTCTGTGGAGCACTATATTTAGCCAAAGCTTGTTTAAGATCAACATATGAGTTGAATATAATTGTAAGACTATTACGAAATTTATTTGATCACACTGTGCAGGACCCATCGATGAACTTGAACACCAGCTGATAGCCATGGGCTACAATTGCTTTACTGCTGACCAGTAAACTGTAACTTGCCATGGAGTTCAGGATTAGCAAAATTTTATGCTATTTTTATTTGAGCAAGTTCTTTACTTCCATATATTGCAATAATGAGTGATGTGAGACAAGCTTTTTCCATAACAATCTAGAGTAACTGTAGATTGTGAAGTAGGTATTATAGGCATCCTCATTTTTAGTAGGTATTATAGGCATCCTCATTTTTGGCTAGCAAACGAGTAACTATTAAACGCAGAAAATTATTTCCCTCAAGGACTAAAGACAAGAGAATCACTCACAAGTNTGTAATGAGTAAATGGTTTTATCACCTGAAGGAGCTGAGAAATTTTTCCTATACCAAAATTTGTAAATGATATATGTTATATTACCTTGTAGCATTAAACTGACAATATAGGTGTCCAGTGCTTGAGTATTTGTGCTTATTAATTCAAATATCCTCAGCATATTGTCCTAGGATTGAAGCAACTTTCCAATTTAAGTTTCCACACTTTTTCCTTTATCATTGACTCTTGCGACACTGCTCTCATTTCCTGAAGTTTAAGTCTGTTTTGCATGTATTTATGCCATTAAAGCTATTTCTCCATTATTTGACCTGTTACTTATCATCAAACTGTACACTTGTTGCAGGCATGACTATGACATCTTTCAGCAGTTGAAGCTTGTCTTCTGAAATGCCTTTCATTGCCATGTATAGAATTCTTCTGCAGAGCCCACTTAAACAGAGTTGCCAACTGTCTTTTATCAACATGTCCCACAAGTATCTGTGGAAGTAGCATTAAGCTAAGAAGAAGCTGTTGTAGCCTAGAGACAAAAGCCATGCAGGCATTTTCAGTTTGAGACACACTTCAACGAGTGGGGGGTCTGGTAATTGAAGCACCACAGGTAAAGTTACTAATGTTGACAAAGTGCGGATATACTTCTATGGTTTGTGTCTATTTATATAGATCAATGGTGTTTATCATGCGACATGTAATCAAATTCAAAGATCTCAATTCTAATCTGTATGTGTGGTAACTAATATATTCCTGAACTTTTGTTCATTATTAAAGAAGGCAAATCACTTCAATTGATGTTGTTCTTGTTGGTACATGCACGTGGATGGTGATACACAAAACTTGATCTGCCTGACCCCATTTTGAGTTTTGATAGCTATTTGCCTATTTTATACCATTTAGGACTTGTGACTGTTATCTGACTTCTATGATTGCAGGCAATAATTCCTTTTCCCTGCCTCAACAAACATTGATATAATACATATTTCTGTGGAGCACTATATTTAGCCAAACCTTGTTTAAGATCAACATATGAGTTGAATATAATTGTAAGACTGTTACGAAATTTATTTGATCACACTGTGCAGGACCCATCGATGAACTTGAACACCAGCTGATAGCCATGGGCTACAATTGCTTTACTGCTGACCAGTAAACTGTAACTTGCCATGGAGTTCAGGATTAGCAAAATTTTATGCTATTTTTATTTGAGCAAGTTCTTTACTTCCATATATTGCAATAATGAGTGATGTGAGACAAGCTTTTTCCATAACAATCTAGAGTAACTGTAGATTGTGAAGTAGGTATTATAGGCATCCTCATTTTTAGTAGGTATTATAGGCATCCTCATTTTTGGCTAGCAAACGAGTAACTATTAAACGCAGAAAATTATTTCCCTCAAGGACTAAAGACAAGAGAATCACTCACAAGGCACACCCTTCTAAAATCTACGGTAAGACAAACACAAAACCTGCAAAAATGAGTCATTGAGTGGGGTCTGTGGTGAGTCAATTGGTTGATATAGATGGTGAACATGTGAATTTCACGTGGAGACCAAGAAATCTAAGTGGGTTCCCATCTGTCTCTGGGGAGTGAAGGAAACAATTTGCTTTCTTATAGTTTCCAGATGGGTTTAGAATAAAGTATTTACAAGTGAATCATAAGTTGGTCCCATTTTGTGTACTGGTTATATTGACTGTGATTTAATCAAGAAATTTTGAAATTATATATGCATAGCTATGTCGGCAATCAATTATTTGTTTGAAAGATGCATTTTGATACTATGTTTTCTTTATTCTCGGGAGTAGCAACCTACTGATGGCCCTTTTGATATTCACAAAGCATGATGCATGAAGAATCTGAAATAATGGAGAATGATGAAGTACACTACTGGACCTCAAATAGATGCCTTTGAGGCCCGAGATTAGCCCTGAACCTAAACAAGGACGTCTATATGTGATAGAAGAAGTGCCCATATGAATAGAATTACAACTTTCTCTGCCTTTTGAATAATAAATGAATCAAATAGCATCTTTTTCAAATAATTTTCTAATGACAACTTAAAGCCGGTTGTTGGTAATACCCTAAACGGGGCCAAGTCTATAAGACCCATTTAAGTGCATAGTCTATCATTAATACGAGGACATGACCACATTGGTCTTGGGGATAGCTTAATAGTTCTTTAAGAAAAACTAATTAAATATCTAAACCTATGCTTTGTAAGTACGAAAATATAATTGATTGGATAAGAAACATACTAATTCAAAATTCCAATTTACAATGCTTGTAACTTTCTTTGATATTTTCTTTACAAAGTTAGTATCGAATTTGATGTTGATAAATCTTTTTCTTGTAATTGTTACCATTCCATCTTTTAACGGAATAAAATATAAGTATTAACAGATTATGATATACTAAGATTCTAATTAAATTGAAAAGACTTGAATTGACATTAAGGTCATGGATCAAAGCCGACGGTCTACACTTGAATATCTCTTTGAAGATTCTAATTTTGAATTTGACCACATTGATTATGACCTACATCACGAAATAACATACATAAATAAAAGCATTATAAGAATTTTGGAATCTTTCTTTTATTTTGCTTGAAAACAAATGAATTCATCATCATATCAAACTTTATCAAATTAAAAATAAAGTTTCTTAATAATCTCAATAAACAATTTTGACGAATTGAACCCTAAGGGGTTGGCTTGACGATAAAGGAGGTTTATTTTCTTTTTTGAGTTCTTGAGTTCGAACTTTGGGATCATTTATCATAATAAAATTATAGTTTATTTAGTCATTTAGGCTTGTAGGGAGTTCAATGGACCTCAGAGATTAGTTGAGGTACCTCAATTACAAAAAAAGAATGGCAAATTTTAAGGGAACCTTAATTAACAATATCTTCATACGTTTCAAATTATTGAAAAATATTGAATAAATTTACTTTGACTATAGCCTGGATTTTGACCAAAATGCATCAATGTGTAAGAAACCAAATTCCCTTTAGGTAACGAAAATAAATTAGAAAAAGAGTAAACGACATGTTCCCACCCATAGATTAGCAAAATTTTAAGTTCTCACCCCTGATTTTATTTATTCCACATTCTCACCTTTAAATTAGCAGAAAATCATTGAATGTAATGGTAAAATGGTAAAATAGTCATTTGAATTGCATTAAATCTTAAATAAAAATGAAAATTTCAAAATTACCCTTCACATCTCAAATTTCTCTCACAAGCACCCCTCATCACTCGCCTCCCTCGAGACTATCGGAAAAATCCAGATCTGGCTGGATTCCGACGCCGTTTGACATCACTGCCACCACCACTAGCTTCCCCCACTCATCCCTAACAAAACCCATCCATCCCCTAGCCTCATCTACCTCCATTTTGGCTGGATCTAAGCCTTTTCTCCGTGATTTTCCCCTCCCTCACGACTGCCGAAAAAATCAAGATCTAGTCGGATTCTAGCGTTGTTTGACATCACTACCACCACAACTAGCTTCCCCCCCTCATCCCCAACAACCCATCCATCCCCCAGCCTCATCCGCCTCCATTTTGGCCTAATCTAAGCCTTTTATCCGTGATTTTCTCTCTCTCACAACTATAGGAAAAGTCTAGATCTAGTCAGGTTCCGGTGCCATTTGACATCACCGTCATTACCACTAGTATCCCCCACTCATCCCTAACAAAATCCATCCATCCCCAAGTCTCATTCGCCTCCATTTTGGTCCGATCTGAACCTTTTCTCTCGATTTCCCCTTCTGCAGTTCTTGAAAAAATCCAAATATATTTGGATTAAAAAGTAATTTATTAGTAAGGACAACTTGATAAAAACATTCTCTATATTGAGTAGAATATAAAAATCATTAATAATGTTAATTTAATGGTAGACATCTGGAATAAACGAAACCAAGGATGAGAACTTGAATTTTCGCTAATATGTGGATGAAAACATGTCATTTACTCTTAGCAAAATATTAAAATAGTAGATTCATTAAATTAAAAGAATGATTAATTATCTACTATTTTAATAATTATAACCTATTACGTGTCACAAAAATTATTTTAACTATTCCATATCCAGAGCTGTCGTTTTTTTGGCGGGTAGGTACCTAACTTACAAGTCAATAACTTTAAAAACGACAAAAATACAGTGGGAATAGCAACCAAACAAACTGAAAAACAATAAACTAGGGAAACCGAATTAATGTAAGATAACACGTGTAAAAAATCCATTTGACCACCTAACCACTAATCATAAAATTCATTGGAGTTTTCACCAAACTTTCAACTCTTATCGCTACCTCATCCGCACCGAACCAAAACTCTTAAATCACTCAACAAAACTTCACACATCCGCATCTATCAATCAAATCTCATTCTCCTGTACCGATACCGAACGCTGCACTTGCCACATTATGGGAACTGAAGTTGGAGTTTCTGAGCCGTTGATAGCACCTAGTGAGAAAATCTCCGCTGCCGACGAGGACGATCAGACGGTTCCCGAATGGAAGGATCAGATAACCGTCAGAGGGCTGGTGGTGAGCGCGATTATGGGGACTTTGTTCTGTATCATCACGCACAAGCTGAATCTGACGGTGGGGATCATTCCGTCGCTCAACGTTGCTGCCGGATTGCTCGGCTTCTTCTTTGTGAAATCGTGGACTAGTTTTTTATCCAAGTTAGGGTTCTCGATTAAGCCTTTTACCAGACAGGAGAACACCGTCATTCAAACTTGTGTTGTCGCTTGCTATGGCCTCGCATTTAGCGGTAATTATTCCGTTCTTTAGTTTTTATGCTTGCTTCGTTTTTATTTTCCAATTTATTTACTGAGATTGATTAATTTATTTGTTTTTCGGTTTATTATTGTGAATTTAGAAATTAAACAGTGGTATAATGGAGAATTGTTGTTAAGATTATTGACTCCTAATTACTAAATTATGATTGCATCGATATGAAGGCTCTTGAAATTTTTGATGAAGTTGTGAAAGACAAGTTATTTTAGATGGAATATTCTATTTAGCAGCTCTTTTGTTTTTCTGCATGGAGTTCGATAAAATAATTAGTAGTGAATTCATTGCAGGGGGATTTGGTTCTTATTTGCTTGCAATGGATGAGAGAACATATCAACTAATTGGTGCTGACTACCCCGGTAACCGGGCAGAAGATATTTTGAACCCAGGATTGGGTTGGATGATCGGTTTTCTGTTTGTTGTCAGTTTCCTTGGGCTTTTCAGTCTTGTACCACTTCGTAAGGTATCTTTCACCGTCATTGTTGCCATTCTTTTGCTTTACTATCATGCTTTAATATATGGAAAGGATAAGTTTAGAGTAAAGTTAAGCGTAGAAAGTTAACTTATTTTCTATCGTATTGTCATACATTTGGTTGTGAATACTTTGTCCAATCATTTGGAATTGTAACTGAAAGGTTACTTGCTAAATTTGGTTTAAGGTTTTCTTTTTCGTTTGAGTTTCTAAATTCTATATTGAACTTGTCAAGAATGAGTTCATAATTCATCCTATGTGCTGATAAGTGTTTATTCCTACAGATTTTAGATATTTAAGAAAGTGAAATTTGAAAAAGAGCTTGATAGATTTGAACCCTCTGTTACTTATGTTGTCATTAAAGTCTCAGTATGTCCATAATTACGTTGGCCTTTTTTTTTTCCTCTTGGGTATTGTTTATCTTCTAATTATTTGTGTATGGTATCAGGTTATGGTCTTGGATTATAAACTTACATATCCCAGTGGGACAGCCACAGCAATGTTGATAAATAGCTTTCACACCAACTCTGGAGCTGAGCTTGCAGGGTAATGATTGAATATATGTTCATTATTTTGTATGTCTTGATATTCTTTCTCATTCTGTGAAACTGTTGGAAGAGAAGTGAGAAAAGAATTATGTCATTAATCAAAGAGATAAATGAAAATTGAGAGGTCTTTAATTTTGAAGATCATGCGCAGAGCTTGAAAGGCAAAGTTAAGAAAGAAGAATATATAACCTATAATCTCGCATACAGAAGTCCATAATATTTATCTGTTCTACATAATAGTACATTGCTACTTATTAATATTTATGCACGTTCCCTGCAATTATATCTGTTATTGTCTTTCAGCTCTTACAGGATAAATTTCCAGGTGCTATCTATGCCTTATTTTGATGTGTTGCACATTTATTAGCTGTAAATTCTTTGAAAATTCTTTAATATAAATGTTTCAAAAAATCTAAGTTCAATCGCTTTCTTCCTAATTATGTATCTATTGTTGTTTGACTTTTATTACAGGAAGCAAGTCAGCTGTCTTGGAAAATATTTAAGCATGAGTTTATTTTGGAGCTGCTTTAAGTGGTTCTTTAGTGGCATTGGGGATTCTTGTGGATTTGACAATTTTCCCACCCTTGGTTTGACTCTATTTAAAAACACGTAAGGCTCTTGTGGATTCTCTGGGATATGTACATCTCTCCATTTCTCTCTCGGAGACTAAAGCTTCATTCTTTTTATGTATCATATATCTAAATTATGTCTCTGTTACTTTCTTTTATTCCTTCTGTTTGCTCAATTATTATTTGTTGTTTTATAGAATACCTATATATCCATATGGGCAGCAACTTTATTGAAAAACTATTCTTTATCATTTTATTCCTTCGTATTTTGTAAAATAATTTAATATTATTGAACATTTTACATTGGGCCTCTTATGAGTTGCATTGAGTTGCATTGAGTAAGTACCAAGGAACTGGTAGAGTGTCTATAATATACAAATATAAAATTGAGAGTAATTAACTGTCTACTTGTGTCTTTGGTCTTGTTTGTCAAATTTCATCTTTCAGAACATGATTTTTTGTTTTAGCCAGATTGCACTAAAGTGGCTAAAATCATAATATACTTTTTTTGCTTGATACAGGTTTTATTTTGACTTCAGTCCAACTTATGTTGGATGTGGACTTATCTGTCCCCACATTGTGAACTGCTCTGTTCTTTTTGGGGCTGTTATATCCTGGGGTTTTCTCTGGCCTTTCATCTCCCAACATGCTGGGGACTGGTATCCAGCTGACCTGGGTAGCAATGATTTTAAAGGTCTTTATGGATATAAGGTATGGTAATATAACATCTATTTAAATCACGCTCTTCTTTGCCTCAAAGCCAATTCCATAATCTTGAGTTAGTCTCTTATTTCTCTGCTCTAAAGTGAATTTTCCTGCCATCACCTTTTGCAGGTATTCATAGCTATTGCTCTTATCCTTGGAGATGGCCTTTACAATCTGATCAAGATAATAGCTATAACTGTCAAAGAAATGTGCAACAAAAGCACCAAACAGAGCAAACTTCCAATTGTCAATGAAGTTCTAGGTGAGGATATATGGCCCTATGTTATCTCTGAAAACCGAATCATCTCAACTGTGAAAATTGATGGAAAAAATCTGGTTCTTATTTGCACATAGTATTACTGTTAACAATTTTTTCTCAGCTTGTGATAGCCAACTATAATTCTTTTCAACCTTCTCAATTATATTCAACCAATGATTAGTATAACAGTGAGGCTCATCCACTGTTGATGTTTTCCTGAAGTAATAGCAATTTTATAAATATCAACTGGTTTGATTTGTATGGTGAATTGGTGATTCTTGAGGTTTTCCAGATATGTTTTATCATTTGATCAGTATTTTGTGAGATTTGATCATTATGATAGTAACACTTCCATTTTGAATTTATGGCAGTCTTTTGAAACAGAATAATCATTCAAGGAGAGAGATGCAAAATTCATATGCAATTTTCTTTTTTCTAATGAACTGTATTTCTTGTGGGATTAATTTTGCTGATGTGCTTTTGTAGATTCTGAGAGTTCCAAATTGTTACTGGGTAAAAAAAAAAGAGATGATATCTTTTTAAAAGACAGGATACCCACCTGGCTTGCAGCTTCTGGATATGTGGGCCTGGCAGCTATATCAACAGCAACAATTCCAATCATCTTTCCACCTCTCAAGTGGTACTTGGTTCTCTGCTCATACCTTATTGCCCCTGCACTAGCATTCTGCAACTCTTATGGCACTGGACTTACAGACTGGAGCTTGGCTTCAACTTACGGAAAGATTGGTCTTTTTATCATTGCTTCTCTTGTTGGAAGCAATGGAGGGGTTGTTGCTGGGTTAGCAGCTTGTGGCGTTATGATGTCCATTGTTTCCACTGCAGCCGATCTCATGCAGGATTTTAAGACAGGTTATCTCACTCTATCATCAGCCAAGTCTATGTTTGTGAGCCAGTTGGTAGGAACAGCCATGGGTTGTGTCATTGCCCCACTCACATTCTGGATGTTTTGGACGGCTTTTGATATTGGTTCACCTGATGGTCCGTACAAAGCACCATATGCTGTGATATTTAGGGAGATGGCCATTCTAGGCATTGAGGGCTTCTCGGAGCTGCCCAAGCACTGTCTGGCCATATGTTGTGGGTTCTTTGTGGCTGCTCTGCTTATTAACCTCCTGAGGGATGTGACGCCAAAGAAAATCTCACAGTTTATTCCTATTCCAATGGCTATGGCAGTTCCATTTTATATTGGAGCATACTTTGCAATTGACATGTTTGTGGGTACAGTGATATTGTTTATATGGGAGCGAATCAATCGCAAGGATGCAGAGGATTATGCAGGGGCAGTTGCTTCAGGTTTAATATGTGGTGATGGCATTTGGACAATACCATCTGCAGTTCTATCTATTTTCAGGATCAACCCACCCATCTGCATGTACTTCGGTCCTGCTGCTGGTAGCTGAGCTGGGAAATTGCCGTCTCAGGCTGTGTTGTTGTAGTTGTTGTTTGTTCATCGAACACCATTGTTTATTGGATTCTGTAAATATGTCTGTTGTATATTTCTCGAACGAACTTAACAACTTGTCTTATCAAACGCAAATTTGCGTTTACGGGATGGGAAGAATGATTTGCATAAACAATCTTGATTAGGAATGAAGTTAGCACACTTGTATAGAATATGCAAATACTCCACACTCCACAGTGGTGATGGTTGTGTGGATCAGATTATACAAAATTATCTTTAAGAAAGAAAAAGTTTCAATCTGTGCTCAGCAAGCCACAGATTTAATGGGTAACAATGGCAAATAGCTGTTGCTTTTGCAAAGATTAGTTGAAATATTGGATTAATTAATTAGATCTTTATTCCAATCATTGCTTTTGGTAAATTATTTACTTGATAACAAACATATGACAATCATGTTTCATGAATTGTTATTATAATAATAAACCAAGAAAAGAATTGGAGAGTTGAAAAAGAAGATGCATTCATTATTCATAGCCCGGTGGGAATGGGATGAGAAAAGTAAACGAAGAGTACAACATATTTGTATTTTCAAATGATTGAGAAGTGGGTACTTAGAAACTACCGCAAATTTAGATTCTGTAAATGAAAGTGAAATTCTATTTTCTTTTGACACTTGAGTTTCAGGCACATGCCACACATGATATAAATATCGGAATGGGACCACTAACCTCCAATCCCATTTCGAATCTATCTTTTTTTCCATTTATAATTTCATCATTCTAAACCACTCATCTCTTTTTCTCTTATCCTTAACTATTCTTCCACATCTCCATATTTGCCTAATCAATAATTAAATTCTCTTAATTGGTTATTATATAATATAATTTTACAAAATAATTAATAAATTTAGAAATGGGTAGTTCATATATAGATGTAGATGTGAGACAAGGATAATGGTGAGGTCCATATCTTATCAAAATAAAGCATTGGACTGGAGATTCTGGCTTTATTGTAGCTCACCCATTGGCGGGTGTGGCTCCAATTTATTGTGGTGCATGGAACTTAAAAAACCTTTTTTTTTTCTTCCAATTTTCATCTCTCAACATTTAAGTCAATTCAAGAAGAAATTAATGTCATATTAATGTAGACAGACAATGACTTAAGATGATGCGATAGCTACATTAATATTTATATATATATATTAGCCTTTCATATGATTTCGCTTTTTTAATTCCCACTCAATAGCTTTGCGATTTTAGGCATCGTTGGTGATTCAAATTTGAGGGAAGAAGATTAGATTACTTTATTTTAGTGGGTGTTACCCCAAAACACTCAATTATTTGTTGACAACTCTTGCAAGATTAAGATATTCCCTTCACCACTTTAGAAGAAAATAAAAAAATTTGAGCATTACATCATTTCAACACCATTTGGGTTTACATTTACATAAAAATATTTTAATTCCAATTACAAGAACGACAAACCAACTATAATCATTATAAATTATCTTTAGGTGATTGAGTAGTTCAATAGGGACTCTTAGATTTATTACTCAAAGGTTTCGAGTTTCAGTCTCTCTTCAGTTGTTAATAGAGGGTAATCACTAGAATTCTTACACAATCGATAGTTCTAGAGTCTTAAGGAATTAGTTGGAGTTTTCATAAACTGTGGCCCACACAACCTTGGTCCCAAACAAAAAAAAAAAAAACCTATAATCATCACATACATGATACTCGATCTAGTTGAATAGTCACATTCTTACATCTTTTTACAAAAAAGATTGATTTAAAGACTCAAATTCCATAATCTAATGGACACTTGGCATAATATTGTGAGATCTCTGAATAATTAAAGAAGAAACTAAGTGAGAATCTGATACCTCACCTCATCTCATTTATCTGGGTTTGTTTTCATGCAAGTATTGGCTGTTGAGTCTTGAATCATTTCATTGATGATATATTTGATTTCAAGGATTAGAATTAGGCAAATGCGTCAACATTTAATTATGCATGAAAGGAATGATATAATATTAATAGCTTCAAAGAGAAAAGACAAGATACCAAAGATTATGCAGAAATGAATGAATAAAAATAGAAGATGCTTGTGACTTGTGACTAAACATATGCAAATTTGGCAGCATATATTTGGACTGTTGTCTTGTGGGCATGCAACTATATATATATAATCAATTCTCCATGAAAGACATGAACCTTGAAACTTGAAGGGTTTGTTGTTGTTGCCATGCATGGTTGAGGAGACACTGGATTTTTTAATACATATTTGTGTATTGCGTATTGCTTAAAGAAGTAATGGTGGGTATGGATATTATTAATAAAATGGTATCCTTTTTTACTTAGTCATAATAATAAGTCGCTGAAGGGGCCAATGGCTTAAAAGAAAAGGAAAAGAAGAAGAAGAAGAACAACTTAAGGAAGTAATGCTCCATGGAATTGATGGGATTCAAAAAATGAAGTAAACATGCAAGTTTTGAAAAAGATGGAAGTTGGAAGGGATTTATGTGATTAAAACAATCGACAAATATTGGATAGATCCAAACTTATCTCTTATCTAAGAAGAAATATAAGTTTTAAGTAAATAGAAAAAAGAAAAAAGCAAGATTATCTTTTTCCCATTGAAGGTTTGAATTCATGTGAAATTGGGTATGCTATTTTCAACACATAACTTTCAAAGAGGGACCTCCCTTGTCTCCATGATGGGAAGCAAATGTGACTACCAATTCAATCACCAACACACACATAACAATTCCCACCATTCATCATTATCAGCACAATTATCAAACCAAAAATTTTGGTCTTCTCCATATCAAACCCTTTGAATTTTTATTTTTTAAAAAAGTTAACAAAAGCCAGTCCCTCATCCCTTAAGTGATTCTTACCAAAATCCTCTTGCTCCATCTCTACTACTTGCTTAACCATCAAGTTGAAACAATTACAACAATCCCCACTTGGGTGACCATGGATTTTATTTTTTCTAGTCAAATAAGTAAACAAACAATTTTTTTTTTTTTTTCTTATGGCCATGAGTCAGTTTATACACACCTCAACTAATCTCTCGGGACCTTGGAACTATCGACCGAATAAAAACTCCAATAGCTAATCCTATTAGCAATTGAGGAGGGATTCGAACTCAAAACCTCTCTATCGAACCATTCGACCATCCAGAAGTAGTTAAAAACGAATCATTATTTCTTTGTTTTATATTTTAAAATGTTTCTTGGTTTGATTTTTGAGGGTTTCCAAAATCTTTTTGGTTTTTGTAACTCGGTGGTAGTGTTTGACAAATGAGTCTTTATCAGGGAGTGATTTCCGCTAAAAATGCTTACTTAAATAAGTTTTTTTAGATTAAATTGAAGTTTCAATAGTAAAAGTAAACACCCATTATCATAGCAGCCTCAGCCTGCCAACTTTTGAATTTTGAAGAATATTAAAGTTGCTTTGGACTTTTAATTTATTCCAACTAATTAGATGGGTTGATTTCAAAATATTAGAAGAACTACAATATTGTGGAATTTTTAGGCGTAGAAAATAAACTTCAAGTCCTGGCTTGTCATATTCTCTGTTATAAGCCAATAGAAAACACAAGATGAAGCCAGCCATGGTTGGAAATTTTCCACCCTATAAAACCAATAATATTGGAGAATGATTTGAATTTTGAGGATGGTTTCTTCCAGTTTTAATCAATCAAAACAGATGATAGAGACGAGAAACATAAATTAGATTAATGCAGTAAGAAAAGCAGTAAGAAAAGTTTCTTACTTGTTACATTGGGATTTGAATTTGGGTGGCCAAAAACATAATATAATACCTCTCTTCAATTAAAAAAAATAAAAAAAGAGGGTCCATATCATATATCACCTACCTAAGCCATTAATAATAAATTTTATCTTGTTGGTATTAATTTATTGAAAGAATGAGACAGAAGAAATCTCTTCCAAGGCAGAATTGTAAATTCAAATTGGGCATCCTTTTCATGTCATTTTCCCTATCCTCCTATTTCATCTACTCAACCTTCAATCCCAATTCATTTCTTTTGACAATTCCAGTTTCTCTTCAAATTGCAGAAATTGTTGTTGGCTTCAAGTGCAAGTGGTGTACTGTTCTTCTGAATCTGGGCAGCTCTAAAAAGCTTGAGATAATATTTTAATTAGGAGCAAAAAACTTGTATGGGCCATGCCCTTTCATGATTAATTTTTCTTCTTTAATTGTTGAGTTTTCCTTTTAATAATAGCTTAAGGGGATGGGCCAAGACAAGAGTGGGTTAGAAGCAACCCCACTACCCAATCCTTGTTTTCCAGGTGTCGACTTATCATTAGTCCACGTGAACGTTGAGTTCCTTACAAGAGTTGTTTCAATTATAGCACGCATTAAAAGAGTTGTTATAATACCTTTCACCTGAGGGAAAGTGATTGGGTAAATAAACCAATTTTTTTTTTTTAATTTAATTCTAATTTTATTTTTATAACTTCAAGGGTTTACGCCTAAGTTATTAATTTTTGTTTCTTCATTATCATTGGTTCTCATTAACATGCAAATTAGAGTAATTAATATTGTCAATCAAATCAAGCAATTAGAAATTAGATTAGTTGAAATAATTGGATTTAACGGAATGGGGGAAGAGGGCAAGCAGAGTATAGTGAAAAAAAAGAGGGGTAAAAAGTACAACACGCGTAGAATGTGGTGGAAGTGAAAAAAAAAAAACAAGTAAAACACAAACACAAAGTTAAACAATTTGATAATGGTGAGTGGGTACAATTGGGATATGAAAATATAAAATGAATATTAAAATGTTTTTGTCTTTCGTTTGTTTCCAAAAACAGTGAAAAACTGATGAAAGTCTAGGACTTTTCAGCTCACCCTTCTTCAATCAAAGAAGACCACTTTTCTGATATTTTTCTTATTTTTTGAAACCCCAAAAACTTACCTGTTCATGGATCCCAAGGGCTCAAAGAATCCGCAACATCAACAACAACAACAACAACAACATCAAGTTTCCAACTTCTTACAACAACAACAGCCTCAACAAGAAGTAAACATGGGTGAAAATAAGCCTGCGGAGATCAAAGATTTCCAGATTGTTATAGCTGACAAAGAAGAAGCCAACAAGAAACAGTTGGCTCCCAAGAGAAGTTCTAATAAAGACAGGCATACGAAAGTTGAAGGCAGAGGGAGAAGAATTAGGATGCCTGCTTTATGTGCTGCAAGAATCTTTCAGTTAACGAGGGAATTGGGTCACAAATCTGATGGTGAAACTATTCAGTGGCTATTACAACAAGCTGAACCTTCCATAATTGCCGCTACTGGTACTGGAACCATTCCTGCTTCTGCTTTGGCGGCTGCTGGTGGCTCAGTTTCTCAACAAGGTACCTCTCTAACTGCTGGTTTACACCAAAAGATGGATGATTTAGGAGGGTCCAGTATTGGGGGCTCTAGTAGGACCAGTTGGTCAATGGTTGGTGGTAATTTAGGAAGGTCTCATCATGTAGCCACTGGGTTATGGCCCCCAGCTGTAAGTGGCTTTGGCTTCCAGTCTTCTTCTTCTGGTCCTTCAACACCAAATTTAGGGAGTGAAAGTTCAAGTTATTTACAAAAAATGGGATTCCCTGGATTTGATTTACCGGGTACTAACATGGGTCCTATGAGTTTTACCTCTATTTTGGGTGGTGCTAGTAACCAGCAGTTACCTGGTTTGGAGCTTGGGTTGTCTCAAGATGGTCATACTGGGGTTTTGAATCCTCAAACTTTGACTCAAATTTATCAACAGATGGGTCAGGCTAGGATGCACCAGCAACAGCAGCATCAGCAACAACCTCCTCCTCATAAGGATGATTCTCAAGGCTCAGGGCAGTAGATTCAAGGACTAGCATTGTTGAGACTTGAGAGGCTGAGGTGTTTTTTCTTTGTAATGGTTTAAATATTGTATAATTTGGGAAAAGAGAAAAAAAAAATTGATACTTGAGAGAGAATTCAATAGGGACTGGATTTGGTTTCCCCCTTTCTCTTTGATCTTCTTCACTGCATCATCATCATCCCCAAGTCTCCCCATACAGGTGCTGCCTTTGGGTTCTTTTGGCTCTTCATTTTTTTTTTTAATTTTTTTTATAAATTGTACATAGGTGTTAATTGTTTAAGGTTTTTAGATTAAATTGAAGTTTCAATAGTAAAAGTAAACACCCATTATCATAGCAGCCTCAGCCTGCCAACTTTTGAATTTGAAATATTAAAGTTGCTTTGGACTTTTAATTTATTCAACTAATTAGATGGGTTGATTTCAAAATATTAGAAGCTACATATTGTGGAATTTTAGGGTAGAAAATAAACTTCAAGTCCTGGCTTGTCATATCTCTGTTATAAGCCAATAGAAAACACAAGATGAAGCCAGCATGGTTGAAATTTCCACCCTAAAAACCAATATATTGGAGAATGATTTGATTCGAATCTATCTTTTTTTCCATTTATAATTTCATCATTCTAAACCACTCATCTCTTTTTCTCTTATCCTTAACTATTCTTCCACATCTCCATATTTGCGTAATCAATAATTAAATTCTCTTAATTGGTTATTATATAATATAATTTTACAAAATAATTAATAAATTTAGAAATGGGTAGTTCATATATAGATGTAGATGTGAGACAAGCATAATGGTGAGGTCCATATCTTATCAAAAGAAAGCATTGGGCTAGAGATTCTGGCTTTATTGTAGCTCATCCATTGGTGGGTGTGGCTCCAATTTATTGTGGTGCATGGAACTTAAAAAACCTTTTTTTTTTTTTCTTCCAATTTTCATCTCTCAACATTTAAGTCAATTCAAGAAGAAATTAATGTCATATTAATGTAGACAGACAATGACTTAAGATGATGCGATAGCTACATTAATATTTATATATATATGTTAGCCTTTCATATGATTTCACTTTTTTAATTCCCACTCAATAGCTTTGCGATTTTAGGCATCGTTGGTGATTCAAATTTGAGGGAAGAAGATTAGATTACTTTATTTTAGTGGGTGTTACCCCAAAACACTCAATTATTTGTTGACAACTCTTGCAAGATTAAGATATTCCCTTCACCACTTTAGAAGAAAATTAAAAAATTTGAGCATTACATCATTTCAACACCATTTGGGTTTACATTTACATACAAATATTTTAATTCTAATTACAAGAACGACAAACCAATTATAATCATTATAAATTATCTCTGGGTGATCGAGTGGTTCTATAGGAACTTTTAGGTGTTTCAGTCTCTCATCGGTTGTTAATAAGGGATACTCATTGGAATTCTTACACAGTTGGTAGTTCCAGAGTTTTAAGAAATTAATTGAAGTTAGCATAAACTGTGGCCCACACACCCCTGGTCCCCCCCACCCCCCTAAAAAAAAAAAAAAAAAAAAAAAAAACCTATAATCATCACATACATGATACTCGATCTAGTTGAATAGTCACATTCTTACATCTTTTTACAAAAAAGATTGATTTAAAGACTCAAATTCCATAATCTAATGGACACTTGGCATAATAATGTGAGATCTCTGAATAATTAAAGAAGAAACTAAGTGAGAATCTGATACCTCACCTCATCTCATTTATCTGGGTTTGTTTTCATGCAAGTATTGGCTGTTGAGTCTTGAATCATTTCATTGATGATATATTTGATTTCAAGGATTAGAATTAGGCAAATGCGTCAACATTTAATTATGCATAAAAGGAATGATATAATATTAATAGCTTCAAAGAGACAAGACAAAATACCAAAGATTATGCAGAAATGAATGAATAAAAATAGAAGATGCTTGTGACTTGTGACTAAACATATGCAAATTTGGCAGCATATATTTGGACTCTTGTCTTGTGGGCATGCAAATATATATATATAATCAATTCTCCATGAAAGACATGAACCTTGAAACTTGAAGGGTTTGTTGTTGTTGCCATGCATGGTTGAGGAGACACTGGATTTTTTAATACATATTTGTGTATTGCGTATTGCTTAAAGAAGTAATGGTGGGTATGGATATTATTAATAAAATGGTATCCTGTTTGACCTTTAGTCATAATAATAAGTCATTGAAGGGGCCAATGGCTTAAAAGAAAAGGAAAAGAAGAAGAAGAAGAACAACTTAAGGAAGTAATGCTCCATGGAATTGATGGGATTCAAAAAATGAAGTAAACATGCAAGTTTTGAAAAAGATGGAAGTTGGAAGGGATTTATGTGATTAAAACAAACGACAAATATTGGATAGATCCAAACTTATCTCTTATCTAAGAAGAAATATAAGTTTTAAGTAAATAGAAAAAAGAAAAAAGCAAGATTATCTTTTTCCCATTGAAGGTTTGAATTCATGTGAAATTGGGTATGATTTTTTCAACACATAACTTTCAAAGAGGGACCTCCCTTGTCTCCATGATGGGAAGCAAATGTGACTACCAATTCAATCACCAACACACACATAACAATTCCCACCTTCATTATTATCAACACAATTATCAAACCAAAAATTTTGGTCTTCTCCATATCAAACCCTTTGAATTTTTTTATTTTTTTTAAAGTTAACAAAAGCCAGTCCCTCATCCCTTAAGTGATTCTTACCAAAACCCTCTTACTCCATCTCTACNACTAATATCTCGGGACTTTGGAATTATCGACCGAACAAAAACTCCAATAGTTAATCCTATTAGCAACTGAGAAGAGATTTGAATTCAAGATCTCTCTATCGAACCATTTGGCCACCCAAAAGTAGTTCAAACAAATCATTATTTCTTTGTTTTATATTTTAAAATGTTTCTTGGTTTAATTTTTGAGGGTTTCCAAAATCTTTTTGGTTTTTGTAACTCGGTGGTAGGGTTTGACAAATGAGTCTTTATGAGGGAGTGATTTCCGCTAAAAATGCTTACTTAAATAAGTTAAATTAATTTCTCTCTGTATTTTTTTTAGATTAAATTGAAGTTTCAATAGTAAAAGTAAACACCCATTATCATCGCAGCCTCAGCCTGCCAACTTTTGAATTTTGAAAAATATTAAAGTTGCTTTGGACTTTTAATTTATTCCAACTAATTAGATGGGTTGATTTCAAAATATTAGAAGAACTACAATATTGTGGAATTTTTAGGTGTAGAAAATAAACTTCAAGTCCTGGCTTGTCATATTCTCTGTTATAAGCCAATAGAAAACACAAGATGAAGCCAGCCATGGTTGGAAATTTTCCACCCTATAAAACCAATAATATTGGAGAATGATTTGAATTTTGAGGATGGTTTCTTCCAGTTTTAATCAATCAAAATAGATGATAGAGACGAGAAACTTAAATTAGATTAATGCAGTAAGAAAAGCAGTAAGAAAAGTTTCTTACTTGTTACATTGGGATTTGAATTTGGGTGGCCTCTCTTCAATTATGCATGAAATAAAAAAAGAGGGTCCATATCATATATCACCTACCTAAGCCATTAATAATAAATTTTATCTTGTTGGTATTAATTTATTGAAAGAATGAGACAGAAGAAATCTCTTCCAATGCAGAATTGAAAATTCAAATTGGGCATCCTTTTCATGTCATTTTCCCTATCCTCCTATTTCATCTACTCAACCTTCAATCCCAATTCATTTCTTTTGACAATTCCAGTTTCTCTTCAAATTGCAGAAATTGTTGTTGGCTTCAAGTGCAAGTGGTGTACTGTTCTTCTGAATCTGGGCAGCTCTAAAAAGCTTGAGATAATATTTTAATTAGGAGCAAAAAACTTGTATGGGCCATGCCCTTTCATGATTAATTTTTCTTCTTTAATTGTTGAGTTTTCCTTTTAATAATAGCTTAAGGGGATGGGCCAAGACAAGAGTGGGTTAGAAGCAACCCCACTACCCAATCCTTGTTTTCCAGGTGTCGACTTATCATTAGTCCACGTGAACGTTGAGTTCCTTACAAGAGTTGTTTCAATTATAGCACGCATTAAAAGAGTTGTTATAATACCTTTCACCTGAGGGAAAGTGATTGGGTAAATAAACCAATTTTTTTTTTTTAATTTAATTCTAATTTTATTTTTATAACTTCAAGGGTTTACGCCTAAGTTATTAATTTTTGTTTCTTCATTATCATTGGTTCTCATTAACATGCAAATTAGAGTAATTAATATTGTCAATCAAATCAAGCAATTAGAAATTAGATTAGTTGAAATAATTGGATTTAACGGAATGGGGGAAGAGGGCAAGCAGAGTATAGTGAAAAAAAAGAGGGGTAAAAAGTACAACACGCGTAGAATGTGGTGGAAGTGAAAAAAAAAAAACAAGTAAAACACAAACACAAAGTTAAACAATTTGATAATGGTGAGTGGGTACAATTGGGATATGAAAATATAAAATGAATATTAAAATGTTTTTGTCTTTCGTTTGTTTCCAAAAACAGTGAAAAACTGATGAAAGTCTAGGACTTTTCAGCTCACCCTTCTTCAATCAAAGAAGACCACTTTTCTGATATTTTTCTTATTTTTTGAAACCCCAAAAACTTACCTGTTCATGGATCCCAAGGGCTCAAAGAATCCGCAACATCAACAACAACAACAACAACAACATCAAGTTTCCAACTTCTTACAACAACAACAGCCTCAACAAGAAGTAAACATGGGTGAAAATAAGCCTGCGGAGATCAAAGATTTCCAGATTGTTATAGCTGACAAAGAAGAAGCCAACAAGAAACAGTTGGCTCCCAAGAGAAGTTCTAATAAAGACAGGCATACGAAAGTTGAAGGCAGAGGGAGAAGAATTAGGATGCCTGCTTTATGTGCTGCAAGAATCTTTCAGTTAACGAGGGAATTGGGTCACAAATCTGATGGTGAAACTATTCAGTGGCTATTACAACAAGCTGAACCTTCCATAATTGCCGCTACTGGTACTGGAACCATTCCTGCTTCTGCTTTGGCGGCTGCTGGTGGCTCAGTTTCTCAACAAGGCACCTCTCTAACTGCTGGTTTACACCAAAAGATGGATGATTTAGGAGGGTCCAGTATTGGGGGCTCTAGTAGGACCAGTTGGTCAATGGTTGGTGGTAATTTAGGAAGGTCTCATCATGTAGCCACTGGGTTATGGCCCCCAGCTGTAAGTGGCTTTGGCTTCCAGTCTTCTTCTTCTGGTCCTTCAACACCAAATTTAGGGAGTGAAAGTTCAAGTTATTTACAAAAAATGGGATTCCCTGGATTTGATTTACCGGCTACTAACATGGGTCCTATGAGTTTTACCTCTATTTTGGGTGGTGCTAGTAACCAGCAGTTACCTGGTTTGGAGCTTGGGTTGTCTCAAGATGGTCATACTGGGGTTTTGAATCCTCAAACTTTGACTCAAATTTATCAACAGATGGGTCAGGCTAGGATGCACCAGCAACAGCAGCATCAGCAACAACCTCCTCCTCATAAGGATGATTCTCAAGGCTCAGGGCAGTAGATTCAAGGACTAGCATTGTTGAGACTTGAGAGGCTGAGGTGTTTTTTCTTTGTAATGGTTTAAATATTGTATAATTTGGGAAAAGAGAAAAAAAAAATTGATACTTGAGAGAGAATTCAATAGGGACTGGATTTGGTTTCCCCCTTTCTCTTTGATCTTCTTCACTGCATCATCATCATCCCCAAGTCTCCCCATACAGGTGCTGCCTTTGGGTTCTTTTGGCTCTTCATTTTTTTTTTTAATTTTTTTTATAAATTGTACATAGGTGTTAATTGTTGTAGTGTTGGTTTTGGTATGGAATGTGCAGGTGAAATTATTCACATCCAAATATCTTGGGTTTGGGCTTAACTTCTTGTTTAATCAGAGGTGTGTTGATTATAGTGTAAGTCATCTTTGATTATTTTTTCTTTTTTTTTTTTTTATGTAGGTCTGGTTGGAGTGCCTATCAGTTTGTTTGTTAATTTAAACATACAGTTATATAGTCATACTTGACAAGTTTCTTTTCAGATCTAGTAGACTTCTTAATCACCTAAACACACAATTATGTTTTGTGTATAAAGGAAGGAAATTTTTACAGATTTGCCCGTCTAATGCATGCAATTTTGTTGCTGTGTAATCTCCTGTCTTACTATTTCCTTCTCACCTATTCAGAATAACACAGGGAAAATGCTTTGGTCCAGTTTTTAACCTTCTACTTTGATCTGAATGAATGAATTTTCATTTAGGAACAGATATCCACTGATCAACTTCATATTGAGGGAACTATGAAATTTTTCCCTTTTCTTTCTCAGTTAACAATCAACTCAAATTGTGGAGCCAAATATGTCTTCATTGTGGACGGATATAATTTTGTTTGAATTATCTTAGTTTTTTAATAATCATTCTATTGCATTTCTAACTTTGCCAGTTAAATCCGAGATAGTAATACTCCCCACAAAAAGTTTTCCAATTCTATAACAATGCAAATGAGATGGACTGCAACTTTTGAACAATCACAGTTTAGATTGCTTTACTCTTGCAGACGTTAAAACCTTGATAAAGGCTTCTACTTTGCATCGTTAATGAATGTCATTATTTAGTTGAGTGCCCTCCGTCTTCTCAACAAGAACTAGCATTTATTAAGCCAGACCTTACCAGTTCATGCTTCATATTCTCTATAGCTTCTGCCAGCTATTATAAGTTGCCGAACTTCACTCTTTTTTCACACTCTGGATAGCATGACAGTGTTAGGGTCTTTTTCACAATAGGGGTCTTTTGGAAATGTGAAGTTTGCATACTTGAGTAGATGCTAAGTTAGGTATTCAATAGATCTATTACCTAAAGCTGCCAAAAAATCTTTCCATATTTGACAGAAATCTGGTTCTTAAAGCTTTTATTACTAGCTGCAGATTCAATTGATATTTACCCAATTGATGCTCCTTTGGCAAATAGCTAGCAGTATGAACTGGAAGCATGACCATATAGTTTGGACAGTCATCCACGTATTACTAGGAGTGTTAATGTGTTATAGCAAGTTTGTTTCTAGTGTTTCGTATCAACATGGAAATTATCTCATATTTTGAGGTATCTTTACATGTGCAGAGCTCTGTATTCAAATTTTTCACCTGTGCTCTCTTCCATCTATAATGGTTTAACCTTTCTCCTCATTTTCAGTATATCTGTTGAGTACTTAGCAATGATTCAGTCTTTGGTATAATTTAAGAGATCTCAACATTTCACTTTCGTGAAATTTACATATTTACTTAAGTGGTTACTTGGTTGTTTAAAAATCAACATCTAAGGTTTGTTGCTGGCTTTATCCCCTGAAATCATTCTGTAGTCAGCCATGAAGTCTCTGCCATCATCTGTTGTTCTCAGTGTAGTATCTTTCTTATTATGTTTTCCCTTTCTCATTCATTGTCACCCAAACGGTAGTTGAATTTTATAAATGGATACATGCTTTCCACGACATATGACCCTCCTTGTCACTGTCTATTTAATTCCACACTTGCTGGCAAAACTTCTGCTACTATTCCTCGTCTAACCAATAATCCACCATGGGTCTATTTCTGACCAAGGTAGAGCAGCATTAGGCTTTACCTTCACACAGTTTAACAGGTTATTGGTTTGGGGTGATGATAGCTTTATTTGACAGATTTATTCTTAGATTATACATCAATTCAGAATTGTCTCAACTTTACTATAGCAAAGACGTGGTTTCCCTCCTTACACATCCACCTTTTGAGGAATCCATCACGTTTAAATTAGATAGTTATCAATCAAACATAATGATCTAAACTAAACACCATTGCTGAGTTTGATTCGTTTGTCATGAAAAGTATTATACCCATCAGCCATCCTGACTCCATTTCATTCATATTATTATTTACTGCATCTGCAAATAATCTCTCTGCATGCTTTCATTTTTCTCATTATATGATTTTACTTGAGCTATCCAGAAATGAAAGAAGTTTTTAAAAAAAAAAAAAAATGTCTAAAAGCAAATTAGACAAATAATAGTTTTATCAATCGGTATGAACTGGATATCATCAGTTTCATTTTTTTTCTTATCTGGGTTATGTATGAGGCATCCCTTCGTTTGTGTAAATGTGGATTTATTCAAATTTTTAGAATTAGCGTTATTTAAACCAAGATGCGGGAGCTGAAGTTGAAGGTACATTTTGAGCATGATGTTCCTTTCACCATATTCATGAAAGAATTTGATGTTTTCACTTTCCAGGAAAGTTCATATTTACTTCAGTGTAATTCCTATTCACCTGAAAAGAAGTGACAAATTGCGTAGGACAAAATTATCAGTTGCTTCTGAACATCACCCCCTTTGTTACTTTTTTTCTTTACTGATACATCCAAAAGGAATAAAACAGGCCTTGAAATTGTTTTTATGTGTTGCGTATCTCAAGCATATCGTCTTTTTGTTTCTTGTTTCTGATCCTGTCGATACATCCAATACAAAGAAGCATCCTTCAAACTCTGCAATTATATTTAATCACCCAAAGATAAAGAAAAAGAAAGGAAATACAAAAACATTCAATTGGGAAAGGCAGAGAATGTGAAGGATGAATGTATGCAACCCACTGCACAAGGAACAACAGCGAGTATCAATAATTCATATACTGGCATTCAATTGAAGCATGTAAAATAGATATAATTCATTCACACACGCCTAAAAAGTGAAGGAAAATTTATCATCAAATATTATAGTGCTCACCATAAATGCCAACTCCTTTTCTATTAAAATAAAATTTGCCTAGTGGTCAAGGAGGTTTGTTCCCTTTTCTTTAGTTCTTGGGTTCAAACCTTAGGGCCGCCTATCACAATAGAATAGTAGCTTATTTGATAATTTGGGCTTGTTGAATGTTCAATGGATCTTGAAGATTAGTTTAGGTGCATGCAAGTTGGCTTGGATAGCCCGGTTACCAAAATTTGATATATACTGAGCATGGCAACGTAGCCTAGCCTTTGCAATTTCTTTTTTGCGTAATCAAGATGAGTTGCTGCAATAGGCAGAACATAAAAACCCATTTGGTTGCTTATAAGTTTCACCTATTATACATTATTAGGAATGTACAATAGGTGCTTGTCCATTATTTGAAAATTAATGGGTGTAATGTCGGTGCGGTTTCTATGAAATTTAACTATTTGAGGCCCAATTACTTTTTGTTTGGATTTAAAGCCCAATATACACTACAGCTGAAAGCCCAGCCCACTATACTCTTGCTCAATTTGAGGCTCTTCTGCAATTTGGCCATTTATTTATAGTTGGCATATTTCAATTTGTGAAGTCAACTCAAATATAGATGCTATTGCCTAGCCAAAATTAAATTGAAAAAAGCTTCAACTTTAGTTTAGAGTCAAAATTTTTGGTTGGCACTGAATATGTCATGCATGATGTAACACATACATTCATTTTTTAATATTTTTAATAATTTTATTTAAAATCCAACACTATTTATCTTTTAAAATTTGGCATAATAATACCCATTTAAATTAAAGCAGCCCAACAATAAAGCCATTAAATCTAACCGTCAAATATGGAATATAATCAATAATTATCCTAAACTATTTGCGGATACTCGAAAATAGTAATTAAGATCAGATATCTTAACAATAATTCCATTCTGATAATATTTTTATCTTCAACTTTTATATTGCCTTGTTGCTTCACCCACCTATAACATAACACATAATGCTGTGCAGTGAATTCGGAGAGGCTAATTCTCTATTAGGAGAGAAAATATTTAGATTGGTTCAATTTAGAATGAAAATATTCAGATTGACTTAGATTTCAACTGAGATAGTCGAAGATCATACAACTTCCTAATCCTACGTATTTGAATCTTATCTCAACTCTTCATAACTTGTTTTCAAGGGGACTGGACAATTGTTCTGAGCAAATTTTCTTAGGAATTATACTGTTCTTTGTAAGCTCTCAAAAACAATAAGATAACAGTAAACGTAGGTTCAATTTCTAACTTGTCAAATCACTTTAAAATTCTCTCTGTCATTTACTTTATTGTATTTATTATTTATTCATTACTGGTTATCTGTAATCACGCGTACATCCATTCCGGTTTCGACAAAGTTAATCAGAATTCTCTAGTTGGTGCTGATTTCTGTATCAAGACATACGATATGATTATATATTTCAATTCAGTACCTTCCTTCTTCCTTGCACGTTTTGAATCAATTTCACTTCTGTTTCATATTTTAAATATATTTTTTACAATTATTTATTACCGACCATGCCATTCAAAGCACATGCGTTCACATTCAGATTTTATTACTTAATCTAAGAGATTAAAAATATTAAAGCGTTTGGAAGAACATTCATTGATGATATTAAATATTATTACTTTTTAATTTAGTGGGTTAATGCAAAGTTCCCCCTCCACAAGCAATTCATAAATCATAATCTAATCAATTAACAAATAATAAAAATGATTTGTACTCATCCAATTTTACTGTAGAAAATGAGTATTGGGGTCCCTTTTTGATTGGATACCACATCGATTGGGTTGGGGTAGTTCAAAATCTTCGATTCTCCCATAATTAATGGTTTATTACTTTATTATATTAATATAAGTGAGGTTTAATAAAATAGCCCTTGACGGAGCCGCCGGGCTATTGCAATATTTGTCTATCGCTATTTAATATTTATAAGATAAGACTTTTAAGGTTCCAGTCTGTTTTAGTCAATGCCCTATTAGTTTTCCTATCCAATTTTATATTAAATAATTTTCAGGTCTCAAATGATAAGACTATTTTGGGGTGGTTTGTACGTAACCAAACTCAAAGCCTTGTTGAATAAGCAACGATAAATATTATCATTCATTCATGTCAATTTTTAAGTCTAACATAAGCTTCATCCCCTCATCAAACACGCTTTATATATATTTTCACTTAAAATAAAATCAGTTTTAAATTATAATAAATATCACATATTTGCATTACAGTCAAATTACATTGAAATTATAGTGTCAAAATGTTTTTTTTTGTACAATCTTTCAACGCTATCTTCACATTGGGAGGTGCGCATGAGCGTGTATATAAACATCCCCTATATCTAGGTGTAAATTGATATTGTTATAATACTAGTGCTCATTGTGACACTATATTGCGCTAAATTGTTTAATTCCTTATCTTGACACAACTTCCACATTTTTCAAAGTTTTATGGAGTTAGTGTATTGTAACTATAATTGTATCACAGTATAGTAATGCATTTCATGACATTACATTTTCACATTGTGGGAGCCACTATGATGAGTGTCCCTCAACGAATTTGTAGCATTTTAGTTTGTATTAATCTAAGGGTAAAGTGATGCAAGTTGGTATTATTACGACTAAATTTTTGTGTTGACAAAGACCAAATATCTAATCTAATAACTAAGAAGAGAAATTTAAAAATGAAAAAAAAATTCAATTATGATTCCTTAACCCTAATATAAAACATAAATTTATATAGAGAAAGAGCAACACTCTAGTGCATGAATTATTAATCCTAGAATTAAATAAAAATTAATTTTAATTCCATAAGAGATATCATGTGTCCATGATCGAGCATTGACGAAAACAAGTCTAACTATGATTATGTGTCTGTCCCATGGTTTAATGATGAAGCCAAAGGTGTTTCGTGGAGTAATAAAACTACTATAAACTGTACAAAGAATTATTTTGACAAATCTCTATCGTTGCTCAATGCGAATCTCTAGGAATTTGCCCTGTCACAAACGCCTTAGCATATCAATAATTGCGGGGAAATTCGGACACCCAACTTGATTCTGAAATTTGGGTTCTTCTGTTTTCTTTAATTTTGAATTTGATTCCTCCTAACACAACATTTACAGTATCCATCGATATAGTAAATTATACCCACCAAGAGCAAGCCACGTGTGCGATGGAAATATGAAGTGGATAAATATATGAAAAATGTTATTCCAAAAAAATTAAGGTTTTGGGACCCATAATTTGTTCCTTATGGTTTGGCAAGTAGAAGTGGGTCCTGTGGGCGGCTGCTAGAGTCTGGACACTCGTTCTTTCTATGCCTTCCATTTCCCAAATATCCCAAAAACAACTTTCCTTTATTCTCACCAGTTCCCCGTATCTTTTTCCCTTAGATATTTCCATATCCCAGTACGCGTGACCAAATTCAGATGGCTGACACCGATGCTCTTTCTCTTTCTTCGTATAATACATGACTTCTTAATTAACCTTTGGATGTCACCAGAAACTAGTATATAGTTTTTTGTTTCCATAATAGCCAAACACATTACGCCGCTTCCCCTTATTTTTTGTCGCCTTGTTTATGAGTATGACATGTTGCTGCTCTCCATACACAAACTGACTTATAGATTTTTTTTATTCATAAAAAAACAAATTTATCAAAATTAGTTGTGCCTAACTTAACCGGTAAATTAAGTTGGTTCAAACTACACTAGAATTCTTCCTTCAAAGACCGATTCAGAGCATTAGTTAATTGGGTAACTTTAAAAATAATTGACACTCTACCCCAATATTTATAGTGACAGTATTGAAAATGAAACTTTAATTAAGTCTTTTTTTTGTCAATTTACGGTTCATCAATACTCCACGTTCACGCCTCCCATGTCTCTGATTATGGATAAGCTAAATAATTACTGCAATATTAATAATTTAATTTAAACATAAAGGTTTTTTTGACTGATATGGGAAGATTATTAGGCAGTTTGAGCACTGAAATAACGTGGGCGAAATTCCAATTCGCTCACGCTGGAGTTGCCGCCAAAAATACCGGCAATGTCCCGACCATTCTGCACACGCCACGTGCGTGTGAATCCGACCCAAAATGGTCAAAACATGTACACTTCACTACTTTCCAACTAACACCATCCTGTCTGTCTACAGTGAGCATTTAGATTAACCGTTCAGTTCTACCAATACTGACTCGCCACGTACAAATACTTAAACTAATAACCAGCTTACCGGCTGATGTCCGCACTTCACTTTACTTTTTATAGCACTTTTTGTTTCTCATACTCCCTATTCTTTCTTTCCTTGAATATTGGAGGACGCATCATTGTATTGTATAGGAAGTTTATATACATCTCAAGTTCAAGGCTTTCTGATTTCTGCAGAAATCTTAATTATTGGATTTGTATTTAAATAGATATTTAAACTTTTTTAAGTAAAAGTTTAGAGAATGGATGATGAGTATGCGAAGCTGATCAGGAGGATGAACCCACCTAGGTAAACCTTTTATTTCTAATTTTGGAGAATTTTGTTCTTGTTGTTGTTTTGTGTGTTATTATGAAGAATCTTTTATTTTTTTTATATTCGGCTTAAAGATATTTAAGGTTACAGTGTTTTCAGGTTATCTGTGTTTTCTTTTTGGGGATTTTTCATGATGTTCTTCGTTTTGATTGAGTTTTTTTTTTTTTCTTCTGGATTTGAATGCTGGGAAACCAGCGGAAAGGGATGATTTACTCCTTTATTTTAAAAAAAAAATTATGTATCAAAATTTAGAAAATTCGCACGGCTTGTTATAATTAAGAAAATATGGTTTTCTGAGGAAATTTGGAAGAGAAACTCACGTTTTCTTTAATTAATATTCTCAGCAACCAAACGGAAACTCCAATTGAAAATCAAATTATTCTGGTGGATTAGTTTGAAAATTTGAAGCAATTTTGAAATAATTCGAATTGGAACTTCCTTTCGCCCTCTACTATATATATATATTTTAATGCCATTTTTGGTGCGTAATATATGTATTTATTTTTTTAAGTGGCTTGTTATTGCAGAGTTGTAATTGATAATATCTCTTGTGAGGATGCCACTGTTATACAGGTAATAAGCTTATTCTTTCTAGTAGCTTTGATTCTAGCCTTATCGAAATTAGGATAAAAACAGCATTCGGTTTGTTTTGGTTGGTTAAGTGGTTGCTTTATTTCTATGATTTTCTCTAGTTAGTGATATGTGAATAATCATATTTTGTATTTTTAAGAACTTGATGGAACTAGTACATAGATATTGTTTGATCAGTTACTCAAATCACTTTTCTGGTTTTGTTAAAGTAAAAGATACAGTGAGTGTAAGAATTAATTAGGTTTCCTGTTCAGGTAGGCAGTCTCAACAAGCATGGAATTCTGCTGCAAGTTGTTCAAGTACTTACTGATATGAATCTTATAATAAGGAAAGCGTACATATCGTCAGATGGTGGATGGTTTATGGATGGTAAAGTTTTTTCTTCAACTGCTCAAACTTTTAAAAGGGGTTGAGAGCTTGTGTCTTTGTTTCTAATTTTTTGTTGTTGTTTTGAAATATATGGTTTCAGTGTTTTATGTGATTGATCACAATGGGAAAAAAATCAGAGATAGGGAAACCATTGATTATATTGAAAAGGTAAGAAATTCTTGTCTGGAACTGCTCTTTTTTCATTTTTGCATGATATTTTTTTTTTTTGTTCAAGCATTTGTTTTATTGCTAAGTAGTCAAGAGTAAAGAGGAGCACGAAATTTAGCTGCTGTTTGTATAGTTTGCTTCAAGTATTGAACACATGAAACCATCTCATATGTATTAAATTTGCTTATGCTTTGTGAAAGGGTGGAGTTGTGTTGTGTTGTGTTAGACCTTTTTCAGAATTTTAAGATGTAGAATTTGATTTCTTTTATTTTCTGGCATGTTAGAACTACTAAACCAACTATTATCTAACAATGGAACCGCACAATATATTAATTCCATAACTCAGTGCATAGAAGAATTTAATCCTCCTCTGTTGTCGTTTATTAGTAGAGTCCTTTGACTCACTGGATGTTGACTAAGCTCATCATTTAACTTGATGCTTTGAAGAGGCTTGAAAGGGATGTTAGCTTTGCACCCTCATTGAGAAGCTCTGTTGGGGTGATGCCTTCAGAAGATCATACCTCAATTGAACTCACTGGTACCGACAGGCCTGGTTTATTGTCAGAGGTATGTGCAGTTCTTGCGGATCTCCAGTGCAACGTGGTAAATGCTGAGATATGGACACACAATGCTAGAGCCGCAGCTGTTGCTCATGTCACAGACCGTTCCACAGGGTGTGCAATTAAAGATGCAAAACGTCTCTCAACAATAAAGCAATTGCTTTGCAATGTTCTAAATGCAAACAATGACTTCAAAAGAGCAAAGACGACACTTTCACCTCCTGGTGTTATGAATAGAGAGAGAAGGCTGCATCAGATTATGTTTGATGATAGGGACTATGAAAGGGTTGAGAGAATGGTAGGGAGAGTAGAGGATAAGAGCTTAAGACCCCAAGTTACTGTTTTGAATATTGAGAAAGATTACACTGTGATTACTATGAGATCAAAAGATCGCCCAAAACTATTGTTCGACATCGTTTGCACTCTAACAGACATGCAATATGTTGTTTTTCATGGAATGGTCAACACAGGGAAGATGGAAGCTTATCAAGTAAGATACTGCAAACACTTTTCTTAAATTAAATCGATTCTTTAGATGACTGGACCAATATAGATATGGAACACATTCTGATTTTGTGATGGTCATAAACTTTAGAATGATATTGTGGGCAGACTTTGACAAACTTATTCTTATGTAAAATTTGCAGAGTTTACACACTGGACCAATGAAGATAACCATTTTTACTTTTCAATTAAACAAATGTTGTTCTGTTTGTTTATAGGAATTCTATATTCGACATGTTGATGGGCTTCCTATTAGCTCTGATGCCGAACGAGAACGTGTTATACAGTGTCTTGAAGCAGCCATTGAGAGGCGGGCATTTGAGGTATAAAATAGTGATGTGAAAATTTAATCATAGTGTGCATATATGGAATTGTATACTAATTCATTTTGCATGATTTTGAAGGGACTGGAGCTAGAATTGTGTATGGAAGATCGTATTGGACTCCTTTCGGACATCACAAGGATATTCCGTGAAAATAGTATGTGTATCAAGAGAGCAGAAATTTCGACAAAAGGTGGGAAGGTGAAAGACACTTTCTATGTCACAGATGTGACTGGGAACCCGGTTGATCCAAAGATCATTGATTCTATTCGGGGACAAATTGGACAAACCAAGCTGCAGGTAAAGCAGAACCCAATTCTTGCACCAAAACCACCTGAGACTACGACAGGATTTTTTCTGGGGAACTTGTTTAAAGCTCGATCTTTTCAAAATTTCAAGTTGATTAGATCCTACTCATAACTTCTTTCTGTATAGTCTGAGAAGTAAATGTTGTACAGAATTATCAGATGTCAAAAGTCAGTCAAAAGAAATACAAAAGGGGAGTAAGATACGCTGTACATATCTTCCTGCCCTCTGGTATGAGTATTGAGGGCTAAGGGTAGTGTAGAAAAGAAGCCCAGATACCACCAAATACTGTGAAAATTACTAGGGTGCTTGTATTTTTTAATGTATATTTGTGAAGGATAATGTTACATGGATTGTACAAAGCTAAGAAGTTTGTATATATAGTTTAGCTTAATGAAAAATTCATGCGAATATTATTATACATGTTGTACCTTCTGAATAAAGTTAAAGTAGATTCAAATATTACATTTAAATTTTTATGAAACATTGAAGACCACCTCTGTAATCCTCTAGTGTAAAAACTGAAGGCATTTGAACTACAAAAAAGCAGTATGAAAATGGGCGATAGGGCTTCATCAACTCATTCTCCCGTGACTTACTGAGTCTACCATTGGTGTATGGAGTCATTAATCATTTGTTCTCGGCTTCTTCAACTCGGTGTCCAGATTCTTACCCAATCATTACTCAAATCTTTCTGCTTCCCGCCAGTTCAATGCCATTGACTCTGTTTTAAAGCAAGTCAAAGTCACAGAATCACTCTAGAATCTTCAGTTTATTCCTTTATAATCGTTCATTGATTCTAGGAAAACTGAACCATGAAAGCGTTTGGTTTTGGCGGAGATAAATCAAAAAACGAAGAAATTGTACAGAAAAATGCACCTCTCTATGGGATGCTTTAAAGATTGAAGGTGTTTGATGCAATGACTCAATAAGTTCTAGATTTTAGTACTATTATTTTTGGTATCTTTATATGGAGTTTAAGATTGAAGGCTGAATTGGCTCAATGCAGAGGACAGTGAGGCTCCCATGTTATTTTGCTGAAATGTTTTTTACTAAAAGCATCAAAACCAAAGAGTAGTGATATGCATTCATGTGGCAACAACCATTAGTAGAATCAAAACTAGGTGCTTTATTGAAAAAGAATACTACTTAGATTTTCTTCATTCATGTAAAAACGTACAAGTTTAGGGTCTGTTTGGCACACTCTTCTCCCATTATTCTATTCCACTATCCTATCTTAAAAACCTAAAAATGCATCTGTTTCAATGTTCTTCAAAATCCAAACCTATCCTATTCAACTTAAAACATTAAGGATTATCTTTCTCAAAAAAATTTTAAAATTAACAAAGACACCCCAAGCCACTATCACTCACCAGCAATCACCGCCGTTGCTACTGTTGATGTCATAACGACGCACGATCGGCTAGATCTGGTTGGTCGTGCGCCGATCTTCCGTTTTCGTCTAGATCTATGGCCAAACGATGGCCAGAGATCTGGCCGTCAACGAAGGCCAAATGACGGCCATATCTTGATTGAGACGACCATATCTTGGCCGTCAACGATGACCAGATATGTGGCCGTAGATTTGACATTTTCCGGCCAGATCCACCGTAGACCTAGCCAGAAAAGGATAGATCGACGCACGACCGGTCAGTTATGCGCCATTGCGACAGATTCTGGTAACCTTCTGGCGATAGTGGCTAGTTGCTGACAATATGTGGGTGGGTGGGGGTGTTTTTTTCAATTTATAAACTTGTATTGTTGGGGGTGTTTAGTTAAATTAACAAACCTAAGGGGTTAAAAATAATCTAAATATTTTCAGAAAATGCTATTAAGAAATGCACAAAAAAACTTCTCAGAATCCTATCATATTTTCTAAAAATGCAATTTACCATAGATTGTTATTCTAAATAACTAACCAAACAGAGCCTTAGGTATTCTTTTTCTTCAATAACCACTAACTAGTATGCCATTCTGGTCATTAACGAATGTCCTACTTCCTTTTCTATCGAATCTAGGCCACTAAAGATTCCTCCTCCATACTTGAAACTTTCTTTCCCTACTTTTGTGTGTTGTTGCATCACCAAGATTATGGTATTGCCACTAAAATCCAATGAAGCAAACACATTGCCAATTGGCCCCAACTTTTGCTGCTCATCCCAAAATGAAAGCCTTGATATAAGTGGTGATAGCCTCTCATGATGCCTTCCCATTATCACAAGTTGGTACCAATTTTGTATTGCTCAAATCACACCAACAGTTCTTCCCCCACCCTTCATGACTTCCTCTACAAACGTTACATGACAATTTTCTTCCCTTCTGCTTCTAAACATACTCACAATTTCATCGTCAAGACACCTATCTGCATCTGAGCTGGTGTTGTTTTTGTCCAGGAGGCATATCATTGCCAAGGAGATGTTGGGACAACTAGCAAGCTAGAGCCTTGCGATCGTCCGCTCCACCCAAGAGAGAATTGCAACACGATATGCACACTAGCTGTCTAAGGGAGACCTTGATGTTTTCAAGACACCACGATCAATGAGGACGCCAATAGAGCAAGGTACAAGTGATCTATCAAATAGGTTCTGGTTGGTAATCTTGGTTGTCTTTGTTGTTTGCATATAATCCTTTGTGTCTAACTTCTTCTAGAAAGGAACAATAGCGAGTCAAGCCTCGTTTTCAAGCGCTATACTGCATACATCGTCATGCATCATTTTGAGAGGAGATATTGAAGTGTATGGCAGAAGTGTGATGGTGCTAGAAGAGCTATTTTCTAAGTATCTGAAAGCATTGATGATATGTTCCGAGGTAGAGGCCTCAAAAGACTGAGTTCTTTTTGGGAGAGTCCGGGAAATTACGAGGGGGTCTGTGCGTCCAACTAGCTCAATGGAGTGAAGCATGGTGAAGACAATTGGAGCTTAGTGGGATTTAAGGCCTCAATTAAATTAATGGCAATGGGAACATCCTCTTGTTCATGTATACAAACGAGTATATGAAGTTCATTGTTGGGTTTTAAATGCATCACCGTTCTTCTACCATAAACTGCATCCACCTTGAAGGATCATAAAGGCGTCTTACAATAGGCGTGACAATACATGTTTTAAGTACCATTAAAATGCACATGATCACAAAGCTTCCCTTATCCCCTTATCTAGTCTCTGCAAACATGAAGGAAATTTAACAAGTTTTTAGATAAGTTGAGATGATGATGATCAAAATTATAAAAAGGATGGTTCAAAATTAACCTTTTTATCTCTCATTAATCTAAACAAGCCAAGCTTAAGAATACCCTGGAAAGTCACGATAAGGCCAAGCAAAATAGCATCTCTCTTTGTCATTTGGCAGCAGATTGAAGATAAAAAGGCTTCTGCAAACTTCCAAATTGCAGAGGTGAAGACGATGCATGAAACTATAAAGTAGTGTTTGAATGGTATGACAAAGAAGTCTATCAACAAACCAATTTTGGCAAAAATAGGCATGAGCACCCAACAGATGTTGGTCCAAGCTTCTCCACCAACGTTGAGCCTAATGGTGGCCCTGGCGAGAAAGATAACCCTAAAACAAGAGGCTTGAACATCACTTTAATCCATAAAATACCACAAAATATATGGGCATGAGCACCCAAAAGATGGTTGGTCCAAGCTTCTCCACCAACGTTAGCCTAATGGTGGCCCTGGCGAGAAAGATAACCCAAAACAAGAGGCTTGAGACACTTTTAATCCCATAGAAATACCACAACCCTGAAATCAAAATGTTAAAATAGCACAATTAGGTGTTCCTGTCTCAATGGTCCTTCTGAATTCCTTCTTAACATCCATGCAATGGTGAAGGACAAAAGTATAAATGTGATGACTAATATATTGGCAAAAATACTAACGTTCTCTCATGTTTCGCCTGATTTAATCCACGCCTGAGAAGCTATATAAACAACAATTCCGCAAATGTTACCCAATGCGGAGGAAGACAAAGCCACTCTTCCAAACTCAGAGTTTACAATTTTAGCTCAATAAGGAAGTGGCCGATCATGGGAAGGGAGAAAACAAATTCTATCTGGGCTATTATAGGTAGTGAATTGGCTATGTCATCTTCATCGAGAAGGGATCAAGAGAAAAGATAAGAAGTGCTCGTTCATCTTGGTAATGCAAATGTAGAAGTCCAATAAAAATTGCAGTTCTATCTATTTTCTTAAATCCATGGATCAACTTGAACTCCATAAAGAAAAAGTTAAACACGAGTCCAATAGAAGCAATGGGTCGAGCATATGACCTCTCAAAGGAAATATATTTTCTGTTGAAAGGTGATATCATGCTGGAAATGCAGAAGGTGGAGAATTTGAACTGCAGTTTAACACCTGTTGATCTCCCGTAATTCATGCAGAAGCAGTTTTTTTGGTCACTGTGTTTGATTTGTTCAGTGACTTGTTTAGGTGTATTAAGTTTGGTTAAGTGTAGTTTCTCCACTTGCTTGTACGTTTATTAGTAGGTGGAGTAAGTAAAATTTGAATTTGAATTGTTTTAGTTGAAACAGTAACATTGGCGTGTATATATTTTACCCCTGTTTTTTGAATAAAAAACAGAGCATTATTGTAGTCCTTAATTTCTCTTTAGTTCATCAGTTTTTCTCTTTCGTTTCCATGCAAAACTAACAATTGGTATCAGAGCTTTAAGTGATCTTAGAGAGCCTGATAATTAATCCTCTTTCTTCGCACTTTCAACCCCGGTTTCGTTACTTTTTTTGTTAAAACTCAAATATTCAGTTTCAAAGGCACAACCTCTAGTCTCTCTACCACCTCCGTCTTAATGGCGGTCAATAACACAGTGGGGCAGTCAAGATGAAAGCATTCCTCGTGGACAGGGTTGTGGCAGTACGTGGAAGAGAACCGTCAACTACCTCCCTTGGGACCAAATCCCACCTGAATCAAATCAGGAGCATGAAGAAGAGGCTGCCAAAGCACCGAGAGCTCTCTCTCACATTCAGCAGTAGTAACTGATCTTGTATTCACAGGATCATGGCGTATGAAAAACCAAAAGAAGCATGGGATAAGTTGAGAGAAGAGTATACAGGTAGTGATACAACAAGGGGCATGCAAGTGTTGAACCTGAGAAGAGAATTTGAGTGGCTAAAAATGCAAGAAACTGAGAAGGTAAGGGAGTACGTTGATAGATTAATGAGTGTGGTTAATAAAATTAGATTGCTTGGGGTGGAATTGACGGATAGAAGAATTGTGGAGAAAGTGTTAGGAAGCCTACCTGAAAGGTTTGAGGCAAAATCTCCTCTTGAGGATTCTAAAGACCTGACCAAATAACTCTAACTGAGTTGATCCATTCTTTACAAGCTCAAGAACAAAGGAGGTTTTTAGGCTGGAAGACTTAGGTGAAGGTGCTAGGTTGCAACACATAAAGGAAGTTTTGTCAGGCTG